TGGCTTTTCATTAACCTCTGCTTCCTTGCTCAGATCTCATAAAAACCCAATTCCAACCCTACCTCCTTGCACAAAATTTGGCCCCCAAAACTCTACTTCTGTGAGTGCTCAGGCAGGTAAAACAGTCTCTCTCTCTCTCTCTCTCTCTCTCTCTCTCTCAATCTCTCCTTTCCCCCCCACTTAAACTCTGCCACTTGCTGTTATGAGCTAAAATTAGCTTCGAGTAACTTCTCCCTTCTTCAGAAACTGAAGGTATTCAAAAGGTCAATTGGAACAAAACTAGAGTTGAGTATTGGACAGGTCAGTTTGGGGCTCTTGGGAATCCCCACCCAGCACTCTTCAATACAAGTATTTGATAAGCCAAATACCTTGGTAGAACAAGCAAACCCTGGAAAAATGTAGCCCGGCAAAATAATTTGTCTACTTGTTGATTAAATGCCATGAAGTCTTCTCTCTAGCACCACATGATGGATGCGCCATGTTGGCATGGTGGTAGCTCAGCTGCTGTTTTGCACCAACTCAGTTTTGCACAGACTCAATTCTGTGACCCTCCCCTGATATGACCAGCCCAGGCGCCATTATGCCATGTCACATGTCAGTTAGTGTTTTATGAAAGTTTTTTGTTGTTGGCAAAGTTTTGTATTTTAAACTGACCACGCAGTTCCCTCATAATTAGGCAAAGTAATACCTCTAAAATTCCAAAAACTTTAAATACCCAATTTTAAAATCTCAGCATGCTGCATAATCTGTGCACAAATATGTTTATTTGTCTATATGTAAAATATGTAAACCGTTATGGTTCCAAAGTTACCAAGTATTCTGCTTGCTCAAAAATCATTGTCAATGGAAGCTGTGATTTAATCTGAATTGCTTTAAAACGTTGTGACCTGACTACAAATCAAAGAAAAAACAGGCAGTTTTAAAAGGCCTTGGGAAAGGAGTTGGGAGGGTGGTTTCCTTTGCAAAGTAGATGAAGTTGGTAATTAAATTGCTGTGATTTATGTCATTCCTTAGGGCCATCTATGCTAAAGGTTAAATATTGTACCTCTGACCATGGCTGGTAAACTAAGACTAAACTAACTAAACAGAGAAGTTTCTCTGTTTTCTCCCCTGTGTACTGATCAACTCCCTTTAAGATCAAGGGGCCAGAGTGACTCAAGATGCAGTTCATTCCCATGCATGGGAAATGCCTGGGAAGCAGAACAAAGTTGTCACAGCTGCCTAAACCAGTGGCACCAGCCTGCAAAAGCCAGTGTGAACCAGGTCTTTAACCAGTATATGTAGGATTTTTGCAGGTAACCAGCAGAAGGTGTGATGATCTATACACATTGGGAGATGCCAAAGCCTTACCCAGACTAGGGCCTTGCTCCATTACACATAATCGAAGCCTGCTCATTTGGGAGGAAAAACAAAACAAAACAAAACAAGCCACTTCAGATATTTGTTTCTATTCCCTTCTACCTTGTTAATCCCCACGTTAGACAATAAGGGGTGTAGGAGCAAAGGATGTAAGTTGACTTTTATGCTATTTTGCAATTGGATGTATTTCTAAAGGAAAAGCTAAGTCTAGATTCTTGGTACAGTGCTATTGCTTGTCTTTTTTTGGGGGGGTGGGGGGGTCTGGTCGTGGGGCCTGAACTCTGGGCCTGGGTGCTATCCCTCAGCTCTTCAAGTCAAGGCTAGTGCTCTACCACTTGAGCCACAGCGCCACTTCCGGCTTTTTTCATTTTGCTTACGTGGTGCTGAGGAATCGAACCCAGGGCCTCAGGCTGAGGAATCGAACCCAGGGCCTCAGGCATGCAAGGCAAGCGCTCTACCACTGAGCCACCTTCCCAGCCCCATTGTAATTCTTGCATTAAGAAAAACTGTTAATTTCCTAAAGGTAACTCAGACTGCAGAAAAAAAAAGTGGTCAGTTTAACCTTCCGGCCAAGAGGTAATGGGTGTTACCCAGTGTTTTAACAGGGCATTTAAATACAAATTGAAGTGACTTTTTAAAAAAGGGATTTAAAATGGCATCCCCTTTGTGAAAATTTGGGAAGCTGTGGGGAGTGGCTGGCCTCCCAGAAAAAGAAAAAGCTCAAAGTCAAAATTGTCCTAAATGGGGCTGGGAAGGTGGCTCAGTGGTAGAGCGCTTGCCTTGCATGCCTGAGGCCCTGGGTTCGATTCCTCAGCACCACGTAAGCAAAAAGAAAAAAGCCGTACCTCCCCCACAGTATAACCCCTGCTTTCACTATATTTGATGTCAGTATAACTTGTGGAGGAGATGGGGAAAAACCAGTTGTTTAAGGATACAGGTGGACCTGTTGCAACAATGAGAAGTACAAGTTGTCATGTCCAAAACGAGCTTTACAATGTCGGTGCGGGGAGGGGGGGGGGAAGGAGAAGGATTGGGATTGGGGGGGAGGGGGGAGGCTGGGAAGGATGTGAAGGGTAAACCAAAGGAGGAGGCTGCAATGCTTGGTAAGAAATGTACGCATTATCCTGCCCATGTAATTGTAACCCCTCTGTACAGTATGTTCACAAATAAAATTAAATTAAATTTAAAAAAAAGAAAAAAGCCGGAAGTGGCGCTGTGGCTCAAGTGGTAGAACGCTAGCCTTGAGCTGAAAAGCTGAGGGACAGCACCCAGGCCCAGAGTTCAGGCCCCATGACCAGACCCCCCCAAAAAAATTGTCCTAAATGTTTATCTCAAAACAAATTAAGATTACCAAGATGATTGTTTATTACAATTTGCCCTTATAGGTTTTTTTTGGTAACAGTTTCCAGCAGGCCCACAGTAAAAACAGGACAAGTTTGTCCAATGTAACATTGGCCCTTAATAAGTTCCAGGTAAGACTACACTTATAAAACCACTTCCAATGACCTTCTTTGTTGCTTTTAATTGGAGTAAAGTGGCCCTTTGTAAAGACTCATTGATCTAAAACCTATGGCTTGAAGCCAGCCTGGACAGCCAAAGTCCCTGTGAGACTGTTATCTCTAATCAGTCAGCAGAGTGCTGAAAAGCAGGCATATTTGCTTTAGAGTTCAAAGTGGCAGAGTGCTAGCCTTGAGCTGAAGTGCCCAGGGACAGCACTCAAACCCTGAGTTCAAGTCCAGCAACCAACCAAGGAAAATGCCAAAGATGCATTTATCCCAGCATGGAGAAAGGCACTCCTGGGACCCTGGCAATGATGGAGCATCCCGAGGCAGAAAGCCACTGCTTGTTGGATGGCAGAGATGGTATCAGATCCTGGAATCACTTGTGCTTGGCCCTTCAAAACTTGATCAGAACCAAGAGGTCATGGGAAGATAGTTTGTAAGCATGCCTAATGCCATGTCTGTCTAACTGGGCAGGAACTTGCCAGTCATTTATGATAGTGGGTAGTAAAAGCTAAGGTTTTAAAATGTGAGGGATAATTTAAATCCCAAACCCCCTGTATCTGCTCAAAGTCCTAATTGGCAGTGACATTTGAGCTGGTCCAGCCACATTAGTTCATCTGTTAAAGAAAGAAAGATTGTGAAACTGCGGTTAGGTCCCTATGGAGATCTGTCGAAAGGCCTACACAAGCAGGCATTGTTGGGGCCACTAGAGATCAGGTTCCTCAGCCAGCCAGAAAAATGCTTTTACAAACCAGAGTGTAAAAAAGGATGGTAGGGGAAATATAAAGGAGTATGTAACAATGCTCAATAGGAAATGGACTCATTACCTTGCTCCTACAATATCTTTACAATAAAAAAGTATATTTAAAAAAAAGGGCTATGCAGCTGTAGCCCAAGAAAAGGTCTGTACATTTGTTAAAAGTTACATGTTGTATATAAGCCACTTTAAACAGGCTGCCCAGAGGCAATAGGAGCTACTCAGAGTGCCAATCAGCTGTACTTCAAAAATATCTACTGGGTTTTATTTTTAAAAACTCTGGCAAGTAATTGTTAGTCAATTTTTAACAAATTATAGGTACTCTCTATCTCCAGTTATCTCCTTGTTGCTTTAATTGGGGAAAAAAAGGGCTTTTGTGACAAAAGACTCCTTTTTCCACAGTTCAAAGCCATCCTGGGCACAAAGAATCTTTCTAAAACTCCATCACCCAGCTAACCAGCAAAGAGCCAGGCTGGAGGTATGGCTCAAGAATCTCACCTCTAAGTGTCCAGGCAAAGGCTAAAAGTGGCATTGTTGCTAAAAGTGGTAGAGCACTAGCCTCAAGCAGAAATGCTCAGGGACAGTGCCCAGGCCTTGAGTCCAAACCCAGTAAATGTCAGCTGGGACAAGCTATCCAAGCAATGGACGCTGAGACCCTCCCAGAACGAAGTCAGTTCTACAATAGAAAATCGTGGAGAGGAGTAAGAAGAAATAACATCCTAAATGGAGTCACTTTACACTTGCCCTTTCAAAATTAATCAGAGCCTGGAGATCAAGAGAAATAGTTGCTTGCCTACCTAATACCCATGCCTGTCTACCTTCTGTAACTGGACAGAAAGTTACAGTCTTGCCTTTGTTACCTATTTGTATTTATAGTAGCCTTTGACTGGTACTCCCAACCAGTCCATTATGCTCTCCCCTAGCCAGTTGCCAAAAGATCCTAGATACCCCCTTCCTGCCCTGAATCTAGGTATTCTTCCTCCCCAGTTATGGGCTTATACTCCAAATGGAACTTTTCTGGTCCATAGCCAACATGTGTTCTCCTATGTCATTCATGTTAAATGACCTTGTCACCTTGTCAGCTTTTTGCCTGATCTTTCCAAAAGTCTCTTTCAACAGGGTAACATTCCCTGCCCAGAACCATCTGGGAACAAGTCAAGGTTATCCTGTTACTACAGGCAACCAGAAACATCACTTACACTGCCCTGCCTTGCCCAGTACAGACCTGGACCCTAAAAACTCAAGCTCCGGGGACTCCTTGATGCCCCTAGACCAGCAGGAAGTAGCTAAAAAAGCCCATGACACCCATTGGCTCTGGTACCTTTAAATATTTCTGCTACCCCCCTAAGGTTACTGTGATCCTAAAGCAAGAAAAGTCTTACTCCTCCTCCTCCAGGATGCCGGGAGTCAGGTACCATGCTATGTCTCCAATCTGAGATAGAAAAGGCAATTTCAGGTCTTTGATAGCCCCTTCTGGGAATCAATCCCTCCATGGCATTTCTCTCTTAAGGTATTAGCAGCAATTTTTGCTTTTTTATTGTGTCTTGCATTTTAGATAACTATTGTCATGGAAAAAGGAGGACCTTTACCAACCAAACTGTCAAGCAGATGTTTTTTTGGACAGTATCTGGCCAAGCAATGAAGCAGGAACCCCTGACTACTTCACCCCTTTACAGCAGGAAGTAGCTCCAGAAGAAATGACCTCCACCCATTGCCCTCCCCCTTGGCCTGGTATCCCTATTTTATTAAACAACAAAGTGGGAAATGTTAGCATTATGCCCACCTTTGGTCCTCAGCTCCACCCAGACCTGAGCTCCTACCAGCCCGGGAGTTCCCACCACACAGCTGGCCTCTCCCTCTCTCCACCCAGACCCACTTGAGCACCCACCTCCCTCACTTCCTGCCCCCAGTGTCTCAGCTACCTGAATAGGGACAGATGCCATGTGCTCTCTCTCCGAGGGAAATATGACTCCTCTAATAGACCTTGTAATAATCTTTCTCCTGTGCCTGCTTGCCTGCCTGCCTGCCTCCATGTGGTCCCCTGGGATGGGTGTGAAGGATTGCTTTCACCCCCAAACTTCCCAACAAGAGTTACTTAAACTGGCCTTCAACATCTTTAACATCTTTATCAGGATGAAGAAGCCAAAGAAAAAGAGGAGAGACTTTCTAAAATCAGATACCAACTCTTGGCTACAGCCAAGCAGCCAGATCATGACCAAAACAGGCCTCTGCTTAGGCTCCTTCACTAATCTATCACTGACAGTGGCTTGTTGGCACACATACTGGGGCCAGTTTCTTATCTCTTTTTCTTCCTTCATTGTACCTCCTCCTCCTCTTAAAATTTAAGAGAAGTGCTACCTCCTGCCCTTGAAAATCTGGTTTGGGCACCTCCCTCAATTGTCTTTGCTGAATGTCTGACTCCTAGGAAGAGACAAAGGCTACTCTGTAGATTTTCCTGCAATCCTCACTCTTCTACCAAGCTTACTCCATCTTCACTCTAGGTGTTCAAAGGTCAACTCATATGCTAATGTGCATCGTTACCAAAACTGTTTTAAAGGTTTTCTATTCTTGTTATCAATGCTTGTTTAAACATAGAGATTCTGTTAAATTCTGTTTGTTGTTGGTAAAATTGTGTCCTGAGTTTTGCCTTGCATTTTGTTTGGTGTTTTCTGCTTTTCTAGCATTGACCAAGTGGTTCTATCAGGCAATGGACAAAAATGTCTTTTGCCATTGGAATTCCAGAAAACATATGGCTGACTTGCATTTTTAAAACCAAGCATGCCTTGAAACTTATGTGCACAAGGAGGTATGTGTGAACATGTTCAAAATAATCTCATTTAATACATAAAAACTGTCATCATTGGGCTGGGGATGTGGCGTAGTGGTAGAGTGCTTGCCTAGCATGCATGAAGCCCTGGGTTTAATTCCTCAGTACCACATAAATAGAAAAAGGCAGAAGTGGTGCTGTGGCTCAAGTGATAGTGTGTTTCTGAGTTCAAGTCCCAAAAAAACAAAAAAAAACAAAACAAAAAAACAAAAACTGACATTCTAGTGTAAAAAAAAAAGTATTCTTTATTTTTTCTTTTTGTCAGTCCTGGGGCTTGAACTCTGGGCTTGGGTGCTGTCCTTGCACTCTTCAGCTCAAGGCAAGAGCTCTACCACTTGAGCCACAGCGCCACTTCCAGTTTTCTGGTGGTTTATTGGAAATAAGAGTCTCACAGATTTTCTTGCCTGGTCTGGCTTTGAACCACAATCCTCAGTTCTCAGCCTCCTCAGTAGCTAAGATTACAGGTGTGAGCCACTGACGCCCTGCAAAAAAAAAAAAAAGTAGTCTTTTCTATCAAATTAAAGTGCTTCTGTCTTGCAAATTGATATTTTTGAGTACTGGTCTGTCTTTGACTGCAATTATAACTATTATCTGTGCTGTTTATTACCAGCAGTCATGTGAGGAATGTGAATCTTGTGTTAAAGGAGTTAATTACCAAGTGTGCTGCTTGTTTGAAGGAGAAATCTTTATCTGTAGAAGTAGTAAAAGCCCCACTCCTTGACAGTGAGATGGAAAAAAACATAAACCTTTGTAACCTTAGTAATCAATTACACTTAGAATGTGAGCCTAATTCTTTGGCAAGGAGGAAGGACAGCTTGGATTGTGATACATACCTGATGAGCTCCTCCCTCTACCCCAAACAGCCTGACTGTGGGTAGAGTAACAGTAAGTTAACCAAGACTTAACTGGCTCTACAGGCCAAGAAGGAAAAACTGCCCAGTTTAAACTCAAGCTGCAAAGAAGCTCATCAGATGTGAGTGTGAACAAATGTGTTTAAAAAATAATCCAAAACATGGGCTGGGAAGGTGGCTCAGTGGTAGAGCGCTTGCCTTGCATTTATGAGGCCCTGGGTTCGATTCCTCAGCACCACATAAGCAAAAAGAAAAAAACCGGAAGTGGCACTGTGGCTCACGTGGTAGAGTGCTAGCCTTGAGCTGAAGAGCTGAGGGATAGTGCTCAGGCCCAGAGTTCAGGCCCCATGACCGGACCCTCCCCCCAAAAAAAGATAATCGAAAACACAAATTAAGGAAAAACCAGTAAGGAAATAAGGAAATATAAGGAAAAAGAGAACCTTGAGAAAAGAATTGAGGAAACAAAATAATGGTTTCCTTTGGATAAGAAAGGATTTGGGAAGAATCATCTTAAATATTTGTTCAAACAGACAAAGGAAGAAATTAAAACAAATCCAGAAGGCTCAAGTATGAGTATGTCTTAAAGATAGAGCTTACGAGTAAAGTTGGTATGTAATCAAGTTGGCTATGATTTAAATAGATCAAGATTAATAATACACTGAGGTAAAACCAACATCTCATCCTTTAAGTCCATCTATAAAAGTAATTATTTGTACAAAGCAAAGTTTACTTAAATGTTTGTTTATGCTAAGGTTCTTCAAATGAACACTTTTTCATTGAATGTCTATTTTTCACGGTCTAATGTCTGTTTCCCAAGTATGTGAGCTGCCTTAGATACAAAGCTGACAATAGTTTCAGTCTTAATTAGTATACTAAAGTGTTGTATTCATTTAAAAACTAGATAGTTTAATCAGTTGCTGTTTTACTATTGAGTTTTATCATTGCAGATTTAATCTCTAGAGCATTTAGTAAGACCCACAGTGGGAAAAATAACTTACAAGAGTATTGATCACACTTAATTTCTATTCTTAACAAGTTTCAAGTAAGCCCTGCTTAAAAACTTTTCTATTGATCTCCTTGTTGCTTCGATTGAAAATATAGAAGCAAAAGACTCCTTTGATCTGAGGATTGTGGCTCAAAGCCATCCTGGGCAGACAAGTCCATATGAGACTCTTACCTCTAATTAACCAGTAGAACGCTAGAAGTGGTGCTGTGGCTCAAAGTGGTAGTACTAGCCTTGAGAAAAAGAGCTCAGGAACAGTGCCCAGACCCTGAGTTCAAGCCCTGTGACTGACAAAAAACATCCCACCAAGACACAGATACCTTCGGAACAAAGTTTGTCCTGGCAAGGAGAGTCCATCCAGAGGAAGATAAAAAGGAATGGTTTCAGATCCTAAATGGAGTCACTTTGTTGTTGCCCTTTCAAAAGTAGCCAGAGCCAGGAGATCAAAAGAAAATAGTTAATAAGCATGCCTATCTAATGTTCATACCTGTTTTTCTTACTCTTAGACTCAGGATAGTTTGACTTGGCACATACCTGGGTCTCCCATCCATATTCTATAGTCCACACTCTGTAGTCCAGACATCTATAGCCCAGATATCTATAGTTCAGTTACAGGAAATGATCAAGGCCTCTCAACCAGCCCTTAACCACTCCAATCTAACACTAGCTTCTGACTGGTTATTCTTAACCAGTCTACCATGATCTCCCCTTCCCAGTCACCAGAATCCTAAATACTCCCTTCCTGCCCCCAGTCAAATTATATGGAAATTTCTCCTTCCCTGTAAGACCACAACTAGGTTTGTGCTCCAAATGGAACGTTTCTGGCTTGTGACAGGATGTGTTCTGTGTTATTCATATCAAACTGGCCCTACCATCTTACAGCCTTTTGCCTGATCTCAACTCAATTGTAGAGACATCTCAATAGATGATAGGAATCATCCCCAAAAGGCATCCTGGTGGGATTCCCTATCATAATGATATCCCTGGCTGGCCCTTCTATTGGGACCTTTATAATCATCCTCTTCTCCTTCTCAGATCCTGTTTTCTCAAACTTTTTCAAAATTTTCTCTTTAATAGGATAATAACCTGCACTCAGGGCTCTACCTGGGAGCACATCAAGGACATCCTATTATTGCAGACAACTGGAGACTTTGCTTACACTCTGCCCTGCCCAGCACAGAACTGAACCCAGAAGAGAATGCAGCCCCAGTGATTCCTTGATGCCCCTATGTCTGCAGGAAGTAGCTAGAAAAGACCATAATGTCCCTAAACTTGTTATACCACTTCAGGGTTTCAAATGATGGGAATTTGCTTTGTTCTCATAACTCCATGTTTCTCCCATGGCCCACTGACCACCCTCCCATGGAGACCTCTCCTTGTGTTCAGGAAAACCTCAACCCTAACCTTATCTGAAAGCACAGGATAGGCCTTATCTGAAAGCACCATCAACATCAGGATGAGATCCCTACAATAAAATCCCAAATGGAACCGTTTGCACCATAAATCCCAGCAGGATAGTTCACACGATAAATCCCCAACAGGAGCAGACAAATTCCAAAGAAGAGTCCAACCTCTTTCCCAGTCTCCTCTTCCAGCCCAATCTTTTTTTTTTTGGGGGGGGGGTCCGGTTATGGGGCCTGAACTCTGGGCCTGGGCGCTGTCCCTCAGCTCTTCAGCTCAAGGCTAGCGCTCTACCACTTGAGCCACAGCGCCAC